AGATACGAACCAGCTAGGGGGGTATTTCTTTCCACTGCATTGAGATGGTAAATAGAAGCCTAGCCATGATGAGAAGGCTATCATGCTCAAAAGCCGGATTTTTGTCTTAGATCAGACTGCAGTCTTCAGAAAGGGGTGCATATATCTGTTTGAACCTGCCAAAATAGGAATCCGATCTTGTATTCTGTAACTCAAGAATTTGTTGTGTTTCCTGATGATATAGGGCAAAAAAGAGACAAGAAAAAGGAAGTTAAAAGTGTGGAAATAAATCCAAAACAGAAAAAAAGCCTTAGATTTTTTATCTAGATATTTTTTAGCTTTAAAAGCAAGATATTTTTTAGCTTTAAGGTCTGCAGCTTAATAAGAGTCAGGAGACTAGTCTTCCCTTCATATATTTGGCACACAAATACTCAGTATCATTACCAGTTCCACAGAGCATAGTCCTGATTATTGCAATATACCACTAAAGGGTTTTTCAGGTTGATTTTATATAGACAATAGAGGATTGTTACACACCAATAAAAGCAAACATTCAAGGTTACTGTAACAAAAAACCTAGCTCAACCTTTCTAACTCCACATAACACATCTCTCTTGTTTAAGCGAATCACAGAAGCCTAATATATATTTTGTATTCTTGTAGCACAGTACTGCCATATCACCCATTACTTTGTACTATTGGCTAAGGCATCAAAACACAGATAAAAGCATTTGTGGGTCACTCACCAACCAGGGTGTGTACATACCATTGCAAGAAGTCAATTTACAAAAGCTCCACCCTTACAAGTTTTGAATATCCTATTTATAAAAGTTGTCTAGCACGATCAAACGCTACAGGAAAAAATATTAAATTATCTCTGCTTTAGGTCCTCAGATTTTGCACCCTTCAGGATTTCAAACAAAACAATATTCTGAGAATTCTAATAAACTGTTTTATCACCATGTGCTTTTACAAGATGTACCAGGCTTCCTTGCCTTTTGCTTAATGATGAACTGGAAGTATAAAACCAGGCTGATCAGATTCTCTAAAGCCATACTTGTAAAGCCAAGTGATGCCTCCACCACTTTTGTGAGAAAAGTGGTAAGAAAATACAACCACATTACCTGGGTGTGAGGTGGGAGAGGCAGAAAGTACAACCATCTTGAAGTAAAAATTGTAGTATAGACTAGGCATAACACAAAGGTTTGCAAACCATTGACAGAGAAAACTGACTTCTTATTCCCCCTGAAGATTATAGGCAAGAAGACAGTTCTACTTCATGGCTGTTACAAATATTACAATGCTCCATTACTGCCCATAGAGATATCACTCAAAGAAGGCATCAACAGTTTATTTTCAACATAGAAGAAACAGCTGACATATAATGGAAAAAGAATTCAAACTGGAAACACCACTTTAATAATGCATTTTGAGATTCTGATTTTACATCAGTGTTTTTTGTAGTGAGTGGAAGCACCTGGTAAATGACATTCCTTATATACCACAGAACAGCTCTCTCCACAGTTGGTCTGCACCAGACTATGACAAATAAACCTTACCAGACCATTACTTAATGTGTCGTTAATGAAATTAATGTAGAAGTGATGAAGTCAAGGACATTTGGTGTCAATAAACAATTTCTAATCTAAAAGAGGACTTTGTATTTAGAGGACTGGCTGTAGCAAAAAAGCCCTTTCTGCTAAAACAACACCAAGACAACACACACAATTAATTCCTCACATGAAAATTCCTTCCTTTTTTATTGACAGTCTCCAAGATACGCATTTAATATTTCTTGGCCTCCTGAGCTTTTTTGCGCTACATTTACAGTAATTACTTTTGTGATAGCAAATACCTAGGTAGAACAAAAGCATCTGCATTTGACAGCTACAGTGCTCCAAAACACCGACCCACCTGCTTCTTTTTAGGTCTTTAAGTACAGAATAGTAGTGCTTTCTAAAAGTTTTCTGATATTTCCCTTTAAAATCAGTTTTGAGGCCCTGAAAGACGCAGACTAGAGTTGTAGTTTAGGAAAAGAAGGAATATTAGCAGCTATTTATTTAAGAGCCTTACGATTCCTGTGCCGCATGCAGAGCTACTACAGATGCAAAGATGTGATCATTTTACAAAACATTCACTGTCACATTGGGCAGCAGTTAGGAGCTGTTGTAGGTTACACTAGAAGAATGGATTGTTCTAACTTGAGGGGTAGCTGTCCAGGAGACAAAAAAAAAAGTTGACAAACAACAGATTAGGTTTTGAGAAGTAGTCTGGGAGCAATTATAAAGCAATAGAGTATCCATAAATTTGATATCCTATTTTCAATCTCAGGTTAGATGCAACCTTAATTTTTTTTCCAATGCTAAGAGCCAACAAATTAGAGCTAAAAGATGACCAGAGAGCAAAATAGTCTCTAGAAGAGTGAGTGAGTCAGGAGGACAAAGTCAATTTTCCGCAAGCAAAACAGGAAAAAGGAAATATTACCAGCTGAAGGTAAAGGAATAAGTCAGACAGGCTCTCTGGTGGCTTCTCCAGTCTGCCAGATATACGGTACTTCTGTATGGAGCACTGTGAGGTGTCACTATAGGCTTTAAAAAGGGAAATACTTTCTAAATAAACAATGCATTATTTTAAGAAGATCACTGGGAGGGCAAGAGGAGTGCTCACTAATATTGTTTCTTCCATGTAAAAAATCCCTCCCTAAGACAAGCCTGGAGAGGTAATGACAGCCAGTCCCAGGCAGAACAGTGCACAAAAGGCTGACCTTTGAGTAGGGAAAAAATAAAAACAATCCATCTTAAGAAAGGCTTGTGATTAGCATCATTGACCTGGAGGGGAGATAATCAATACTATTGGGAGGAGCCTTCTCTCCCGAATGTGCTGGAGCTAGTGCTCTGAAATATGTAACAAAGCCAACTGTTGCTACTGCATTTATTAACTTCTTTTAAAAGCACACCAACATTGACAATATGTGAAAACTCTTAAATTTTCTCCTGGGCAGTCTGCCTCTGTAGGATTAAGTGATTTTTCAGGTGGTACCTCTCATGTAAAAGTTGCTTTATTTGTAGCTTCTCAAGGCATTGTTCTACTGGGTCATTCCATCTCGCAATATGTCCAATATAACTAGTTCTCACTCTTCTTCTATCCAGTCTTCCTCCATCATTGCTTGATGGTACATCCAAGGGCTCAAATTCAGTCACTCAATGACTGAATTGTAATGCATTTGTTAATATGTGCCGCCTTTCAGGTGGAAGTGATCTTCCTCAGTTCATTTTTCTGAACAATTTCTGCTTTTGGATATCCAGCTGCTCTTCAACATTCTTCTCCAATGGCTTGATCCAAAAACATTCCAGTTCATTTCTCACTGTACTCAGTGTCTAGCTTTTGTATCCCTCGTCCCTATGGACCACACTGATCACTGAGATGTGAAGTAAATGTTTACCTTTAAACACTCCAAAAGGGGTATTTCTAGATACATGTGTCAGTGTTAGGGGGTTCATGCCAAAGGGTGTTACGTGTTAGATGAGCAATGCAGTATATTTTTTCAAATTGCTTCAGCCACTAATCATCTGCATCACATCTTGAATGATTACTTCTTTAAAATATATAATGAAAGAATTTAATGTGAAAATAAAAAAAAGTAGGAACAAACTCATCTCAGTTACATAAAGTGAGAGACCAATGAAGAAGTATGAGACATCTGTAGTTTGATCCAACTAAGATCTTAATTTTTTATGTATTATTCTTTCTTTTGTTTAGGATATACTTCCGGGTAATGCTTACATTTTTTTGCCATCTACAGAGCCCTAAGGTCCCTTCATGCATCTTTCATCTTTTTCTTGATAGATGCCATCAAACTATGCTTCCAAAAAGAGCTGTCATTAAGAAGGGAGCCCCTGGGCACCACATTACACAGCTGCCTGATTCATATCAATGCGAACTAGGAAAAGCAATCAACCACTTTAAATACAGCTTTAAAATCCTGCAGTTGAACTTGCCTATGTTATTTAAATGAAATATTGTATAGTCATTCCATGTAGTAGTAAAATTTACTACGATTTTTATATAAGGCAGTAACAACTGGAGATACACAATAGCATCAGGTCTTTCTCCCTTCAAAGAAGTTTTACAAAGCTGTAAAGGCCTCCTAGAATAAACCATACTTCAGACTTCTAGGAAGTCCAGAACACTTTCAGATTTGGTATAAACTGCAGATATATTCTGTTACTCTTCTTGCCTTACCCACACCTCACTGGATTCCTATTCCTCTTTTTCTTCAGAAATGCTTTAAAAAAATGTATTTTTTTCTCTCTCTTGCAACTCTGATACTCTTTCTCCGTTCCCTCACTCCTGAGTTACTTGCTGGCTGGGTTAGAGATAGATAGACCCACACTGGAGGCAGGCTAGTCACAGCAGCAGATGGAAGAAGCCAACCCCTACTCCTGCATGCATGTGTACCGGTGAATGAGTCTCACTGCCAACTGTGTTACGGACCGCAGCACGTGCAGGCAGCAAAGACAGGTTCTTCCAAGATGACACAGTCTAGCAAGTCTGTGCCTAGGAGTGGTAATGAACAAGTGTTTTTCACTGCCAATATTAATTGCTTCTATCAGAAATGACCTATTCTGCTACTCCTTTCCAGGCCTTTCTGCACATGAAGATAGGCACTGACAGAAGCAAAGGAGATCATATTCTTTCCTGCTTCGGGGAAATCAGATTACCACAGAGTACACAGGAACCCACCCAGCAGTCCTCCGAGATACTTTGCACACAATGTTTTCATTGTTTTGTCCTCCCCTGGAACTTAAATTGTCAGTAAGTGCTTGAGGAAAGATCCAGGACTTGATGGACCCGTATTGGTGAATACTTTATTCCTCACAACCAACTAGTTTCTTCTTCCTCTTCCACCTCTATCTCATTTATCTTTGAGTGTTTGTAATGCTCAATGAACATCTGACCTTTAACTGTATGATGCAGACTTTGACTGTACAAAAGTGGGTTTTTTGCTATGCTTATTACTTTCAAACCACAAAACGCAATTTAGCAGCCACTGGAGTATCTCCTGTTTCAATCATACCCATGTTCACACCCTGAAGAGATACTGGCTCCATATTAAAAGCCTTTCCATTACTGATTTTCACTTTGTTCTCAAAGATGTGCACTGACAGCCTTAGTTCCTCATATACAGCCAAACTATCCTTTTGTCTACACATTATTACAGTTTTCAACCAATTGTTTTTCCCCACTGTGTTATTGCAGCAAGCTGTGTCATACATGAGCATCTAAAGAATGGTCAATATTTGTCATTAACCAGCAAGTTTACCAAATATAAAATTACTTGTGATACAGAGAGACACCATAGTTGTTTCTTACTCGTTTCTCCACACGTAAGGAGACATACAAAAAAGTACAGGGAGAAAACACCACCAGCACAATACAGAAACACAAGTACTGGAAAAGCAAACAAGAGCAAGGATTAGTTTTAAAAGCAGAAAGACCATGAAGACAGACAATGAAAAGAATACCCTAAGCCTCACAAATTTTAGCTTCACAGTACACACAGAAGGAGAGTGACACACCAGTAGCACACCTTATTTAACAGGCTTCTTGTGTATAACTGAGGACAACAGAGCCAGTGAACAGATTGTTCCTGACTGGATGTACCGTGTCATGCAGTAACTCTTACCTAAAGCTTTCTGGGTATTCATCAACAGCCATGTTGATCACATCCAGTGCATGCTGATAGTGCTTCTGAGCTGAAAAGAGGAGGGCCAGTAAATGAAGTGAATTCATGTCATCTTTGCATAGCTGCAGTGCTTCTTGAAGATGTTCTATAGCATCAGAAATCTGAAGAGGAAACAGAGTAGAAATAAAAAAAGAACACATTTCTCCTTCAATCCTACATTACACCCCCAAAGTAAAAACAAATACAGTCCCTAGAAATTCTGAAGAAATCCTACTTAGGCACCTGTGAGAAATACCTCTACTATCTGAACAGTTTGCCAAAATTAACAGACTGCACGGCTTGAAAAACCCCACACGTTCTAGAGAAAGTCTGCAGCATTACTAAATCACTGCTTATAAACCGGAGCAGCAGACCTGATCCAATCACACCCCTTTCACTTTGGCATGGTGCTTCTATGCTGTAAACAGCTCCACTACAGAGGCCTAATTCTCAACTCCACTTTCCGTGATGGGTGGCTGACTTTATCGGGGGAGGGAGGAAGCATTACACATCTCTGCTGCATTTTGTCTCTCGTGATGGCTATACAAGGCTTTTCATGACTTTGATCAAGAATATAAAACTTAAGTTTGAATGCTGAAATGTAAGAGAGTCAAGATTCAAAACACTGACAGAAAAAGAAAGAATTTTGCAGGCAGCAATCTAAAGAGCAGTCCTGACACAGCAGCAGCACGTCATTAGAATCAAATCTCACTTGGTAGAAAGCTTAACATCTATAGTAAATGCAGGTATATCACATGTTCCTTGTGATCCAAAACTGTATTTTAGGCTATCTGTTCGCAAGTGGACTTTAGTAAATTTTCTTTCCTTTGGCTATCAGTAAGTTTTATATGGAGGGTTTTCTTTAAGATTCCTAGTGCTTGAAATTACTGTTACTTAAATTATTGCAGAACTGTGTTTGGCCCTGCAAAAAACCAAGCATACAAAAAAGCATAATTTCTTTTCCTCATATACATTTTCCTTCTCCTTCCCTTAAGGGATAGAGAACATAGTTCTTTCTTTCCTACTACAAGAACTTCCCACCTAACAAATCTCTGAAGACATTCTCCTGCCTTGGCATACTATCAGTGTGAAATTCCCACTGCCTCCACAGATCACTCAGGAAAACTGTAGCACATAATTAAGGAAAGCAACAATTACACTGCCTGTGGTTACAACAGAGGATGCCCATTATGTATATCCCAGGTATACTTCTGGGAACACGGTACATTTTCTGTTTGTGGAATAACCTCATCCTAACGTCCCAGTGACATTTCACTCTTACTGCACAAATGCAAGCCAAAGTACTTAACTACTCTATTACTGGTGACTGTGTGCAACTGCTCCACACACATAACCCCAAACTGGCATCTGGCCCACAGCTTCAAAACTGCTGAATGGCCTGGCTTAAATTCAGGTTGGGATATATGACTGAGTTGCTCAGCTTTAATGAATTACTGCTTGTCAGTGGAGTTCATTTAACCACATGTGTTATTATAGTCTACTGCAAAGCTAAACACATTGGCTTAAATCACCAGTGTCCCCTCAGCAGCTTACTACGACACATTTTCTTACAGTGTAAGAACACTGGCAATGACAAGCAACTTGGAACCAGGACAACAGGTATGAGACTGTGGTGGGCCTGGATCTGCCCATCCACAAAGTTTTTCAGTAGGTATAGCAGAGGTATATAAATCTGACTTGCTCAAAGTTGCTATCAAGACTTCCCAGACTCAAAGCTATGAACACCTCTTATTTTTTCTATTCCCCTGTCACAGACCTGTATGAGTAGTCATAAATAAATGGCAAGTTTAGGGAAAAATAAATTCATTAGAAAAAAAAATAAATAAAATCTGCATACCAAACTGCAGGGGTCTGAGCAACCTGTTCTAGCTGACCCTGCTTTAAGCAGGGATTAAACTGGGTGATCTTCAGAGGTCCGCTCCTAACTCAACTATTTGGATTCCATTCAAAGACCTGCAAAGGCGCTACTATGAATCAAACAGTAATACTTGCAACTCGTGTCTTTACTGAGGGACTTCAAAATCGTAAGGATACTTGACCTTACTTTCATGTGAATGTGGAAACCAAGTCTGAGATTTTGCTTTATATGTGCAAATGACACAACTGCAAATTCATACCTCTAACAGAGGCCAACTATCAAAGAGGCTCTCTGACTCTATTGCAATATACAGAAAATAAAGCAGCACAGAAGTCAGTTGTGGTTCCTCCTGCAAACCTGTGCCAGGTGAATAGGCAGTCACATCCTGTTGAAATAGATATAATCTAAAATAGTTCTCCCCCGTTCTGTAGTTTAGGTCTTGCAATAGTTACATCTCAGTTCAGCGCTTCCCTCTAGCACCATCAGAGTCACAGGCAATGGCTGATCTCGGAAGTTAATAATGATTCCCTGGCACCTCATTGTTCAACTCAAGCCCAAAAAGATACCTTAGTGTTGTCACACCACTAGTAGCCTACACAGTACTGCCACATAATTACAAACAGTGGACGAAACACAGATAGGAAAAAATAACCTGTAATAACATGAAGAGACTATTCTTTTATGGGAAGCATTATATAAAACAGCCTGCAACAGAACAGATATAACACAATACAAACTAAATTTCTAGAATGACAAAAGCAAGATATTTGGCAGCAGTCAACAAATTTCTTTTGAAAAGCAGAGATCAGCGATCTATTGACAGATGTCACAGCTTATTTAGTTAAATAACTAAGTAATATGAGAAAGATGGAAACTGGCAGCCCAGATGGCACCCTGAAACTTCAGGGCTGCAAATGCTGCACTTTAAAAGTAGTCTTACTTCAGCTGGACTGCAAGACCAAGTGAGGCTTGCAATTAGAAGATGCTACCCTTTTCTGATTCATCTTTCTCTTGGTAAGTATGCCACATGTGTCCTGCCCGGTACACAGGTATATTCAGATCACACTGATGAGGAAGGAAAGATACTGCAGTAAGCCAGAAACAGCACCTTGGGGCACTACCAAAATAATGACACAATATGGATTGTTTAGGCTGCCTCTTATACAAGAGAATTTATTTCAATAATGCTACATGCTTCCTTAAAAACAATGCTGGAAGTTACAACTGTAGTGATAAAAAGGAAAACAGTTTGAATGCTAAAAGTGATTCCCAAGAGGAGGATGTATTTGCACATTTTAGAATGGTAAATGAAACAGTATCCCATAATAGGAATTTTCAGGCCTTATGATTTCACATCATATGTGAGTTACAGTTAATGTACCATTAAAACTATCCTCTCCATTTCTTTTTATAGTATAAAGATTAGAGAAAGGAGAAAGCTTTACTGACTGGCAAGAGCATCCTTTGAAAACAAATTTGTTACAGTCCATCAGAACTTCAGGGAACAGGCACGGACATACCTGTAAGTTAAGTTACACTTAAATCTTCCTACAAGCTGGTTTTGATCACTGGAAAAATTCTAGATAGAAAAGCAGCGTGTTGCCGTTCAGCAGAGGAGGCACTAACTTGGCTGGAAGAAATACAGACCAGAATTATCCACATCCAGCAGTCACTGAAAGAAGCACTGACTAAAACAGCTCCCCTTTAGGGGCAAAGAAAAGACAGCAGCCTTGCCTTCTTGAAACCAGAATAAAAACTGTGGAAAAAATATTTCCTTAACTGATGTTTATCTTATTTTTACACCCAGACACTCTGGAAGGCGGTAGGTGTTTTTTGGCTATTGCCACTTGAAACTTCAGGTCTCTTGGCAGCCCACAGATGAAACTGATAAGCAAGACCTCTAATTCTCAGCTGCTGGCCCCTGGCTGTCTTCCCCTTCCTATTTTCATGCAAAGAAAGGTCAAATCAAATCAAGTATAAAAGTGGTATGAAACCCCCATATGTTGTTTTTATATATCCAATACTGATTTACATGGTATTCAAGGTCAAAAACAACACCACTCCCAAAAAGAGAAAGGAACCAGCACTTAAAATTACCAACAGCACTGACTCTCTCGAGTCATCTCCATAGAAACTGGGCTGCTAAAAAACAAGGCAAGGCATTAAAATCAGTGAGCTTTAAAATGTTCATTCCACCTTGTTTTTGCTGATCCAAATGCTGTTACCACAGAAACAGAAACAGCAGCTGAACCAGCCTCCCCAACTTGGGAGCTACAAGTCTCATTTGGTGATCAGCTTGGCCAGCCGCCAGCCAGGTGCCACAGGTGGAAACAACCACCACAGCAAATACTGACCTTGGCCTTCTGGCACTTCAGCTTTGGGGGAAAACCAGACTGAGACTCCCTCCCTTACAGAAGAGGATATTCTAACTCTGTATTTTGCTGAAAAATCCACCCTAAAATGTGGTGGGCTGATGTAGACCTTTCAGGAGTTACAGGAGTCATCTTTAAGACACAGAGCCACATGCACAAACACAAGCATGAAACACATCAATGTCATTATCCACTTTGGTTGCTGGTGGTTTTCAACTGCCAGCTCTATGAAAACCTTTTATAACCATTCCTCTTCTTGTCATGTTCTCATCACGTCTCATAAGGAAGCTTATGTTTTTCCATTTCCCCTTTCCCAGTGCTGACAGAGACACGTGCTATGGGAAATATTTTATAGAGTCTTCCAAGGAAGATGAATTGCCTCAGCTTTGCTTGGCACTCTACCCAATGGCTGCCTCTCTTGCTTTGCTCCATGAAAACGCTCTTTTATCTACACAAGCTGATACCTAGATTTTTCAGTGTTGGGTAAGGTTACCTCATTTATTGACCTTGACTATGGAAACAAAAAGGCCTATTTGTTGAGAATAACATTCAGGTATTGTATTATAACCTATTGTGTAGGAATGGTCTGATTTGTTGCTACTGTAGCATTGCCTGGTGAAAGCCCTAACTCTGACATTCAATGGTTAATGCAATCTATCAAAAAAAGGTATCATTTAACTTTCAGTTAATCAGAAAGAGAATATATTAGATACTTAAAATAATTAAAGATATTAAAAATGCATTACCAAATGTTTATCATTAAGTAAACTGGCAAAAGAAGAGTATGAAATTTTACAGCAGTCTAAAAATAAAGATGTCTCAGGTATCTCCTCTCTCTCCAAGCAGGCGTTAAAGATTTATATCTCACTAGACAGAGAAGAGCAGGAGCAGCATCGCCAGGGTCAGGCTGGCACTACATAACACACTTAGATTGCCCATCTGTGGTGGTAGAGGTGACTGGCAGAACATAAAGGATGAAAATACACAGGTGAGGTAGACAAAAGAGAAAGTGAACATAAGGACAAGAGACTGAATGGAAAGAACAGGAGGGAAGAGAAATGATCAAAAGAGACAGCACTGTAGAGACAGGCTATAACTGGAGAAAAAGACAGGGTAATGAGTTAAAATGCAGTGGACCAGTAACAGTAAAATCGACAAAGAATCAATGACCACAGAAATCTTGACTTTAACAATAGCAGCTGAAAAGCTGTAATGCTTTTACTCATGGCAAGAAGCAGAAGCAGCAGATCAGATAACCTCCCTAAGAAGCAAAAGCTGTGAGAGAAAGAAAGGTAGCTGGATATTTTTTAATGAAAGACCCTTAGCAAATGGCATCATAAAGCAGCCAGTAGGCAGATGAGAAAGTTGAATAAGCCATTTTAATTATCCTTTCTTATTGCAGGCTTCCTCACAAAACAGCGCTCTCATTGTGAAAGGGTTACAGAAGTGACATTATCAAGATTGTGCTCTCTTGGAACAATTAGTTTAACCTAATGAACACTCAGCTCCCCTAATCAGCTCAGGAAAGTAAGAAGGATCCAACCGTTTGATTCTGTAGTGTGGACTAAGGAGAGAAAACTGCAGCAAGCAGAAAGCATGCCAAAGAAGGAAACTATGATGATGAAATTTCAAATCTAGCTAGAGAAGCATTTTAAAAAAATCAGGGCAGCTCCAACAAAGATTTTGGCTTTTGAACAGAAGGGACAGAGAAATGAAACACATTCCAATTACTGAAAGAAGGGACAGAAAAATAAAACATAGCCCAAATGTTTTGATTTTTTTTTTCTGAAAGGCAGTGCAGTGTATTGTCTGATCAGCTCAATTTTTACGAGTTAACACCTGCAGCAGCATTCAAATACCAACTAATCCCACTTGCTGCAGAGCTCCAGCACCCGGCGAAGCCCAATGTGCCTAAGTATGGAATAAACCAATCCTCAGCGCAGAGAGCGTGCAATCTGCTGTGATACAGAACCAGGCAGTAATGAGAGAGCCTTCGGAGCAGCCTGCAGCAGGACACAGCATGATACCCAGGGAACAGGAATAAACATCTCACTCGCCCCACACAGACAAAGTTGCTCCAAGTGGGAACAGCACTGCTTAGGAGTTAGAGCTGAATGCATGCCCTGGGGAATGTCATTCCACATGCTGTACAATTATTATTTTAAAAATAGTAATAAAAAGAAATCTACACAAATATATTCTGATTGCGTGTTATCAATTACAACATAGAAAGGAAGCGAGTCTGGGTCTCGTTCAAGCAGACTGTCCTCTCACCCTCTCATGACTCAGTGGTTGCCAATTTTTGCACATACCTGTCTGACAAGAGCCAGCTGCAGCGATAGGTAGAGGATGATTTGGTGATCTTCTGGGGCCAAGTCACGTGCTCTTTAAGGACAGCCACACAATACAAAAAGAAAAGTGACCATTAGATTGTACTTTGCAGAACTCCTTTGCCATGAGTTACACACTAACGCAGAACAAAACCCATTCCTCTCCTACAGAAAACTAGCTCAGTAACAGGAGAGCACACTGAAACTAGACAAAAAGTAGATCAGTGCTGGCTCGGCTAACCCAGGCTCACAGGAACAAGCATAGAATCATAGAATGGCATCGGCTGGAAGGGACCTTAGAGATCATCTAGTCCAACCTCCCTGTCACGGGCAGGGACGCCTCTCAACTAGATCAGGCTACTCAAGGCTCCGTCCAACTTGGCCTTGAACAGCCCCAGGGAGGGGGCAGCCACAGCATCTCTGGGCAATTTATTCCAAAGTCTTGCCATCCTCGTACTGAAGAAGTTCTTCCTAAGATCTAATCTAAAAGCATGAGAAACACAACTGCCAGGATGTTATGCAACTTACATGCTCCTTCATTAAATGCCACAATGTTTTGGAACTTAGATAACTGATACAGAGTGAGTAGCTCTTAAGTCATTACAGATCCATTAATGTACTGTTTTAAGTAATTGAGGTGAAGAGATCGTTGTCCAACTTGTTTCTATATAGTCACTTTTAAAAAAGTAGTAGAGGGTTAGGTGAGCACTGAAAAGTAAAAATTGTTTCTGCTATTATTGTGACTACATAGAGGACTAAACATCAGGAGCCCATGATGTGAACTGGTGCTCAAACAACACAAAACATCCTCTACCCTGCAGCTTCTAGTCTAATTGTTAACAGCAGTCTCCTAATTTGAAAAGGGAAGACACTGAGGGAGGAATGAGGATTTGATGGCTGTAGCTGAGCCTAGACCAAAGCCAAGGCCCTTACTTGTCAAGCTTGGATCTCTTAGACACCACCTTCTAGTCCACAGTGGGCAACAGGGTGCACTGCAGTGATCCCTTGGCTAGTGAAGGCTGCAGTGCCTCTAGAACCAGGAGTGGAGGCCCATCAAACAGGCCTGTGCAAGGCAGGGACCAGGGATGGGCAACCAGGTAGAGAACTGTCCCTCTCAGACTATGCTGAGGATGAAACTGCAGTCTGAGCTTCCTAGCCAGGGGAGAATCCATTAACCAAAGCAATGTGAAGATGAAGTTTTGATGACCTAACTAAGAACAATACGGGGCACTTGCTCATGCCAGACAGCAGCCCAGTCCAGGGACCAGTGAACTGTCCCCTTCTTGATCCATAGTGCTAATTCCCAGTTCTGTGGCACAGAGAAGTCATGTCACATGGGAAAGATGGGGAAAGAGGAAGGTCCCTTTTAGCCAACTGACATCGCTGACCTCTTTCTGGCCTGTGTTCCAGGACACCAGGGAAGCCTGCACCTGTATCACACTGCACAAAGAGAGCACAATTAATGTGCTTATGAGAGAGAAATGACAGGCTGACAAGGCCGGAGGTTAAAAACACTACCAAAACTATTCATTTGCTAATAAGAAACAAATACACAAACAAAAATAAAAGAATTACTTCAGGGAACACACCATACAGCATTTTAATGGCAGCCACCTCTCAAGTGCCATCTTAGCTTGTGAGGAAGAAGCTGTTGCAGCTGACTTTTATAACTAATTGATGTAGAATGAACTAATTTAATACGGACTGAATGTGTCCTGTAACTCTGCAAGTCAAAGTAGCACTCAAGGATTCTGAAGCAATGTCAAAGCCATCAAGGCGCAATTAGCACAGACAAGTTGTTAATTTCTAACTTCATTGAAAAAAACTAAACCAAAACACAAAATAACCCAAAATCCAGAAACAAAGGCAAAACAAAAAACACCCCAAACCAAATAACAAGACTCCACAAGATAGAACCCAGCTTTACTCTAAGCTGTTGGAGCAGAGTGAGCTACATCTTTAGCAAAGGGCACTTGCAAAACCTTCAGTAGCCTCTCCAACAACAAATAACAGAGGAAAGTTCACATGGGTGTACTGGAGATTAATAGTGCTTTTGGAAAGAAACAAAGGGTTGTTACTTTAAGTTTCCTCAAAATGTATGAGAAAAAATATCTCATCTAATCTTCCAGCTGCAAAGACCACTTATAAAAGACAACTACAAGACAAACCATGGCCTGAGAGATTGTACAGGTACTTTAAAAACAGGTGGAAAAAACAAGGAAGAGGTGAAAAGAAAAGAAACAAACCAAACTCAGGCATTCAGGAAGATACAGCTCCCTACCACATCACCCCTGTTGGCTGAGGTTTGAGTATCTAATGTTTGGCTAGAGGTTTTGTCTGCTTCCTAGCTACAGTTAAGATACCATGAAAACAAGCCACAGCCAGTGGGAAAGGTCAAAGGATAACGATAAACACTGGTGCTCCACAATTACATCAAAATTGGGCAGTATTGAAAGTATTACACTGGAGTACACAATCTAGTATACTTCAAGTATATTCATGATTTAAAAAGCGACTGAATATACAGCTTTTTAAAATTCCATTTTTCAGATTTCCATAAGGTAAATATCCACAATTACATCTGTGGTTTCAGCTTACTACTTGCTCTTGCAATGACTGTAAAACCAGTGCAAGGCAAACATGCTGGACTCCTTGCTCAGCATCAGAAAAACAGCTAAGGTCCTGTTCAACCATGTTCAACCTGTCACATGCACTTTTGAGATAACATAGGTCCCAATTTTTTTTCACTTTTGTAACACATTTACACACTAAACCCAGAATTAGATACTTCAGCCCAAGACTTAGACCATATAAGCTTCCATTTAGTTAAGTCTGTAGTCATCTACGTTTATATCACTAACCACCCAAACACCACCTAATGTGTTTTAGGTGGTGTTTAGTTGTAGCAGGGTCAGGAAGCTCACACCTCACCTCTCTTAACAGAACTAACAAAAAAGGTTTTTAACACGAACAGTTTTACCTGAGGTAACCATAATTGCAGAGGAGTTTAACTTGCAGATACTTTCAGGGCTGAGACTTTGGATCAGACTCCCCACAAAATACTGTGGTAAAGAACTGGTGAGTGGTGGCTGCTTTGTACCACTAACTCCATAGCCCCTTTTTCACACAACAGCTCATATAAACGCTCATTGGTACAGCAATCACCCCCTCCTTGGTAAGCCAGGTCTCCCCACAGCAGCCTAGGTGTAGTGGTGATAGCACTTCCCTACCATGAGGAAAACAGGAGCTTAAGCCTGCTTCACACAGGAAGGGAGATAAAATGAGCTTTGCACATTTGCCTCCTGGTACCGCATAAGGAAGTTGTATCTCCCAGCACCGTAGCTCTTACTGCAGTTAATTTGGGGCTAAGGCTATTTCTGTCTAGTGGCAGAACAGGTACTCGTACCTTGGATATTCAGTCAAATAATCACTGCATTTAGCCATCACAGGAACAGTTTTGACAGACTATTGCTCGTATCTACTGAACTGTTTTTAAACTTTCAGGCAAGGAAGATTTGAACAGAAGAAAAAAAAAACCTAACACATTAAAAAGGACAATAACTCTGAATTCATCCAAAGAAATACACAGTGCAAGAAACTGCCAGATTCCTACTCACCTCTCCAAAGTCTGAAGTGCTTTCTTGTTTAATTCATCCTGAGCGCCCTTCAGAGTAGCTGTAGAACAAGATTTAATGCCACTTAGAGCTGAACTCAATATTTCAGAGTAAATGAATAAATAGTTACACATGCATAGTATTTCAAACTGGGAGCATAAAATCTGTGGAAATCTGGTGGTGTGTGTGTGTTCATGGCTGGAAAACATGCCATTTTGTTTTTAAAGAACAACACAAAACTAGTATTTTAACTTGAAATCTCAATTTAATTTTTCTTACAGAATCTTCTGACTCCCTTTGTCTGAAATGCCAAAGCATTTTTTATTTACATGTGCCACTGAAGGGGTCTGGGAGAAGGAGACATACACTAACTAAATACTAAGAGCATAACAGGCCCTCTGCCAGGTTGGTGCATATGCTAAAAGCAGTAACTAGCAGCATATTCTGACTCAGATACAGACTGTTTCCATCACCATCTTCATGTAGGAGGGTGTTGGAGGTTGAACAGTGAACATCAGGAGCCAGATTTACAGCTCTGCCAAAAGCCTTGACAACACGCCACCTCCCTTGAGACCACAAGGGACTTTTAGGCTACTTGGGGTGTGGCTTCAGTCACTAATTTCCTCCTTGGTGCCTCTGCTCAACTAACAGATCCTAACCACTACACCTACTTCTTGATACGTGAATTAATTCCTAACTAAAACCATAAAAGGAGAAGAATCAAGTTCTTGTTATGCCAACGTATCACACGATACCAGCATCTTCAAGAGCAAGGGGAATGGAGAAAGAGCTTAGAGAAGCATGGCTTTCCCAGATCTAAAACATCTGGAAAGCTAGTGATAATTTTCAGAAGTACACTGGCTGTCTTTGTCCTGGTTCTTAATTTTCAGATTTTGCAAAGCAATTGTTTCTTGTTCTGCCTATCCTGAATTTGAGAGCTACTTATCAACAGCACAAAGAAGTGGTGAGTAGTTAATCCATCAGTAAACACCCATCCATGAATATATTTGACTTAATGCATCACGTCAGTGTCAGCTCCACAATAAGCAGGTAGTAAGTAGCATATACTTAAACAATAAAAACAGATAAAATTCAAGTATTCTTTAAAGTTACTAAGACGAAAGAGTTGTGTTCTTCTACAAGACATGCAAAGGTAATCAAAAGAAACTTTGAAAGTAATTTATTTTATTGAAGTAGCTATAGTGAATAGACTTTTTTTTAATTATTCCTACATCGTCCCACGGTTCTTCAAAACACAAGGTTCTTTTGGGAGGAGCAGTAATCTTCAGGGATTTCCCCAATCATAAAGATCAAAAATTGCTTATGCCACCAAATCTACTCAAAGTATCAAAAACTGAACAAAAATTTTGCAGTTTAAAGAATAAATTTGAAGACACTGACTTTCATGCAAAATGCATTATTTATTAGGAGTAGCTGAAAATACTTCAGGTCCACTGCCAAATACTGGAAAAAAGGTAACAGAGGAGGAAAGTTTAGAAAAAATACGAAAAATCAGGATTCATATAAACATAAAAATGCTTGAGGAGCTATTACAAAGGATTTGATCATAGCTATAAACAGTCATCCAGAAAAATATATCAGATTCTGTTTCTCATGGAAATTACGAGATCCCTCATGCAAGTTACACAGCAGTTCTGGAGATGCCACACAATGACAAAGACTGAAAGAACTTCTAATATTTGTCCCCCCCCAAAAAACATCAAATGGGAAAGGCTAGGAGAACTTTCAGTCAAATACTTTGCTAAGTGGAGGCTAATGTTCAGCTTGCAGTCAGAAAAATATGATATGGAAATGAAGCAACTGCAACTAGTCAGTTTTGTCTTTGCACTACTGAGAAACAGCATCTAAGTCCCATCTCCCACAATATGAACTGCATCTTCAGCTACAACTAAGCTGGAAATCTAGTTGTCCATCTCTAGATTTGTGTCTGACTTGGATAAACACGTTGAAATTTATCTCTGACAATATTGAGGATTGATGCTGCAAATTAACCATGCTATTTACAGGACATTTACAACTAAAGGAGATAAATTAGGGGGAGGAAAAAAAAAAAAGGCAATGAAATGTGATTTTGGGAGAGATGAATCAAAAAAAGCATGGCCAGCAGGTCAAGGGAGGTGATTCTCTCCATCCACTCTCATCAGACCCCTCCTGCAGCACTGGGTTCAGCTCTGGGGCCTCCAGGATAAGAACAACATGGATCTGCTCGAGTGAATCCAGAGGAGGGACACAAAGATGTCAGAAGGGTGGAAAATCTCTCTTACGGAGAGAGACTGAGAGACCTAGGATTGTTCAGCCTGGAGAACAGAAGGTTCTGGGGAGACTTTATTGCAGCTTTTCAATACTTAAAGGGGGCTTGTAGGAAAGATGAAGAGACATTTTTTTACGACAGCCTGTAGTGACAGGACAAGGGGTAACGGTTTTAAACTCAAATCTGGAAGATTTTGATTAGACATAAGGAAGAAATTCTTTACTATGAGGGTGACAACACACTGGAACAGGTTACCCAGACACACTGTAGATTACCCACTCTGAGAATTGTTTAAAGAAGTTGTCTTCACTGCAACTCACTTGTATCACCGAAAAACTCTCACTCTCAGTTCTACCAACTAAAATGCAGTTAGGACTTAGATAAAAACAATCTGCTAAGCAGTCTGACCACAGCAAGGCAGAGAGCACAGAGGAGCTCTGTGCTGAAACTTCAGCAGTTATTCCTGTATGACACGGTGCTTTTGCAAACGCCACCTTGGGAGTCCGAGATTTGTTTTTCTAAAGCACCCTGGGGTTTTAAAAGAGCTTAAGCCTTACTAAAAATCAACAGAATCTTCAGCAACATTTTTGTAGCTAAATATGAAGCTCAAATCACATTTGAAAACAGAGTAGGGTAAGTTTTGTGTTAGTAAGCAGATGAAGCACAGTAGGTGTGAGTGCACAGAATGAAACACTTAATGCTGAGGATCAGCATCAATACTACAAACAGGGGGACAGGGGTTTAGTTCTAGTCTTGTATCACAATCTGAACACCCATTAGCAGGTGCAGCATATTCAGGTCTAGTTTTACGGGAAATAGTTCAGTTTGTTTTGTGCCAAGTGTTCTAGTACACGAATACAGAAGTGGAGGGTAACGGAGAGAGAGATTTCAGAAATACATTTCTCATCCCAGCTAAAACACCAATGCACACACACCCTTTTGCACATCAGTGGATTTCAAAAAACCATTTCTTTGTGTTAAGATACCCAATACATCAAGATATACAGTTTAAGCACCCAGAATTGTAATTAAAGATTATATGCATTGACTATCTACAGAAGCAAAAATGATGGGTTTGTTCACTAGTAAGCCATGTCTTAATTATTATTTTTTTTTTTTTAACATTAACTGGTGCTGTCAGCATACTGCTTAGAAAAAGTTTCTACTGATAGAAAAAGTTTCCAATTCAGTCCCTGATCCACAACCTTAGACTAAAAATCTAAATGAAAACAGATACAACACATTCTCATCTCTGGAAGACTGAGAGTCTGTTAAATCTACAAAAACTATCAAGAGATGGGAGGTGATGATGTTAGATAAGAAGAGCACCTGTATTTCACAGAATCACAGAATGTTAGGGCTTGGAAGGGAACCTCGGAAGATCATCTAGTCCAACTCCCCTGCAAAGCAGGATCATCTAGAGTAGGCATATAGGAATGTGTTCTCAACCTTGTCTTTCCTCTTTAGCCTTTATTAAATTCACCTCACCTGTCTCCAACAGATTCTTCACCAGACCTAAGGGAGGTAAATTTGACAGTACAGCTTATGTCAAAACTGGAACTACAAGAGGAAGAGAAAAGGTTTGCTGTTAACGTTGGCCATTGGGAACAGATCCACAGAAAGTTTAGCATAGCCGTAGATGGCCATTCTGCATGAGCAAGAGATTTGTGTTTCTAATAGTGAGGCAAAAATGATAACAATTTTTTTCGAGAACTTATTTCAAGAAACACGTAAATAGACATTAAGAACAAGGAAGCTACACATAGTGCTACCCAGCATAAGTTTCAGAAGCTTTATTTCATCCAGGAGTAAAACTAATAGTTGTAAAGTGACTTTTTAATCAAACGCTCCCACGACTTCTTTGAATTGTCGTTCAGTAGGATTCTCTCTTCTGACTCCACGTTTTAGGAAGTGCTTTTTGCAGGTCACAAAGAAAAGGCTTTAATACAACTCCTCAGTGCCTTTGTCACACAGGAAGAGAAATACTCAGTAGAAGGATATATTAAATAAGAAAGCCCAGCCTTGGACTGAAGGCATCTTGATACAGTGCTGTAAGCTTTATAAGGCCATGGATCAAATGTCTCTGAAACACTTCACTACCAGTGAAAATGCTGACTCACTGGAAGTCAGCTCAAGTGGAAAGTTAAGGAAATCATATATAGATGTTTGACCATGTGCCTGCATATGCCACTATGAACTAGTATAAACACAGTGATAGACAAGATTGACAGTATGAGGCAGGATGACAGGGGAGTTGCTATCTTCCTTTCAGCATGTTCTACTCTTGCTTCCTCATTGTGCTAAGCTATTTTTTAATGACACTCGTGAAAAATGTCTCAGTGCAAATTTGACATTTTCTAGTAAAATGCTGTTCCATATTCATGATCTTCATAAATATGCTTTTGAAGGATTTAATCCACTTTATTAAAATATGACCTGAAAGATGGAAATATGCTCTTTAGAATTCCCTCAAATAACTGAGTGTCTGGTCCTATTGACCTAGAGGCTAGAGATACGAGAAGGCAGATACTCCACTGCATCACAACATAAATCAGATGCTAACATGGAAAAAAAAATCTAAAAAAGAAAAAATAATCAAGGCAGTTGTTGTGAAGATTGTTTATTTTACATTAAAAAGGATGCTTTTTACACTAAACTAATCTTCCACAAATTCCGAGAAGACTTCTTTTCCAGAAGAAAAGTTTCCAAATCGCATTTTACTGCACCATAGTACTGCACACGGCTCTACAACTCTGTTCTTTAAAAATCATTTTCTTTGCACATTGAGGATAACAAATAGATCATAATGGCTAACACTGGAAACATTTTATCTCTGAAAACAATCTTGTATAGTTTTAGGGACAATTTAAAAAATATCTAGGCAAAATACTCAAAAAAAGCTAGGCTCTTAAGCAGAACTCAATGTTTAGTGAACTTAAAAAAAATAGATATGAAAAAGTTCAGGCTAGGAAGGACACTTGTTCTGTGACATGAACTTTCTAGGGGGAACTACTTTGAGGCAGAGAAATGGAGAACTGAAGAAAGCTACAGTGCCCGTCAGCCTCCACATTGGAAAACACTTCTCAGAACAGCTCATCAGATACGGCTGCCTGAAAAAAATGCACCAGTTTGCACTACTGAAGAGCACAAGTGATTTCCTCATACACATGCTTTGCAGCATTCTGGTGTAACTTGCAAGGCCAGCATACTGCCATGATATCAGGCAGTCATTTTAATTTTGTTTCAGGCTTGTTCATTGGAAGAAGTTGGTTTGTTTCCACGAGATCCATCTGATAGAAAAGCCACAGCTTCCATGTGGGCAGGACTGCCAAACTGATCAGGAAACACAACAGCTCAGCCATTACTGAAAGAAATTATGTTAGAAGGCCATCTACCTATATTAGAAGTTGTAGAAAAAATAAAGGCTGTTCCCACCTGTGAGCTTGATGAAATTCAGAACTAGAACTTTCCCAGACATTGGGACTTCGAGCCCTTCTGGCTACCAAGTGCCAGAAGCCCTTTGTCCAGTTATTCAAAACCCAAGTAAGCGGCATTAATATTTTATATTTCTTACAGACCACTGAATGTATCTAGTCAACATCCACATGCACCAGTGAGGTAGATATTTTTATCTTGTTTACTTCTAAGCAGAGAAAGAAACGACATCACAGAGAGGTTAAATCTCTGTGGGGAATCAGTATCACGCCAGGAACTGAAGACATGCATTTCTGACTCCAGTTCTTGGACTGTATTGCTTTATGTGATTTATGAGTGGGTGACATAAATACAAAAATAGATGGAAAGTTTGACTTTTTGTTGTGCAAATAAGTGAAAGAAATGTATTGCAAATACTCAGGTAAAGCACACCAAGCATTGTTGGCTACAGTCAGATTATCTCCTCCCAGCTAATGATTTGTATTTCTTCCTTTATCTAAAACCTTGACTTTCACTACCATGGAAGACAGTTCTCTGAGCAAAGGACCAGTCCTCACTTGTCTTGCAATCTGATTGTTTTCTTGTCCAGTCAGCTCTAAAAGCAGAGTTTCTAATAAGTTTCCCTAGCTTGCACTGAAGGTTTTCTACAGACGCTCTCCATACAACATATTCCACAAACAGGATAACTCACCATCAGTAGCTTGGAGACTGTATGTTAGGCCCAGTGCCAGGTAACCCTTTGCTAGGGACTCTCCAGCATCCTCACCCAGTTCTATCACCATTTTAGCAAAGTATTCTCCTTCTTCCAGCTGCAAAAGAGGTAGGTTGACACTTAGGGACATTTCCTCTATGCTTGCTTCAATAAGATTATCCCATTAAACTTACCTGCAAGTGATTCAAGAGCCATTCATACACGGGCTTTCAGTGATCACAGTAAACACTCATAAGAAAGGAGGACGCAGAAAGTCAGATTAGCAGACCTTGGTGCACATGTGCAGTTTCGAGTGGTTTTAAGCTCCACCCTAAAATATATTAAAGCTAATGAAGGACACTCTCTTATTTTCATATTTCACTTCTGACATGCTTCAATCATACAACCTTAAATACAAATGTTGGAACAACTAACTACTTATACTATCCTGCAGTACATTGAAAGGTCTAACAAGTTTCTTCTTTCAAAGGAAGGCCATCTTGTTTTGCTGTACCATGCTTTTAAACCTCAGCAAATTTTACTTCTTTAAAAAATGTTAAAAGAGTAAACCAAGTAAACACTTCACTGCAAGCTGAGCTCAGCTGCTGCTTGCAGTTCGGCTGCCGCAAGAAGGAGGCAGCAAACTCAGGACACAAATTTTGATCTGAAATACCACACTACCTTAGCAGCTCATGCTGCACTAGCCACATTTTGCAAATACACCATTTCCTTGAAAATGCATTGTATATTAGAGATAATAGGAAGAGAAAGCAGTCACAATCTCTCCAGATCAGCCTCCAAAACAGTGAAATACATCAGTTGGTCTCTTCTACTACAATACACACTGCTCCCCGCAAACTTCCTTTCCAGATGCCCACACAGATGTAAGTCTACTGAAAATATATATACTGAAAGTAACATCTTCAAAATCTGTGTTTTTTAAACAAACAATAATTTGAATAGTTTATTACAGAATAACGTGCTCCTCATCCCCAATCTTAAACTCTCACTAACATCACTCACTTGCTGCAAGTAGAAAAGAGTAAGACCTGTAGACTGCCATTACTGGCTAATCCAAAGCCTACTGAAAACACCGGAAATAGACCTACTGACTTCAGTGATGCTCACATGAGATCCTTTAAACTTTGATCACATCAGGAAGACTGAGATTTGTACCAGAAGATTTCTTAATCCCGCCAGCAGCCCTACTGACTTCCCTGCCACACACTGAAGGTGTTCTGGGCCAGAGCCTAGGACAATGGAAGAATTAAATGTCCCATGACTTGTCACACAGGCAGGGAGGTACCCACAACAAAAAAAACCCACAACAAAACACCAAATAAAAGACACAAGAAAATCCTTCCCATGAAACAATAATTGAATTTTTCAACTCTCACGCACTTTTATGCAAGACGCAAAATCTCTGTAGCCAGAAAATTATGCACCTCTTTTACCACCATGAACAGCTATATTCCCACTTTCTTCATTGTTTCTCCTCCCCAAACATGCTTGCATCCAAAAAGTCTCCATTAGATGAAGAAAAGAGCTATACAAGGAATTCTAATGACTAGGGCACAAGGGTAGTGGTAGGTAGAGTGTATGAAAAAAAGAGATTAAATGAAAGGTTTGGAGTTGAAATTAAGACATTTAAAATTGGAGAGATTTTGCTCCATTGTTTCTCTGAATGGTCACCTGATGGTGTTTCCACTCTCTGACTGATAGCCTACACCACATAAATCAGCAGCATGCCATTCAGCTTTCTTGACTGCCAGTTATCCAGGGCCACCTGTGAGTGTCAGACTAATCTATTGTATGAATAATTAAAAGCATAATTTTTAGAATAGTTGAAAGAGCACTTCTAGCACAAACACTCTTGTAAATGTTTATTCACACTGAACACTCACGGCACTTTGACCAGTCACAAAGATTTTCATGAATACAAACTTGGGTCAGCTGAAGGCTGCTTTGAAAATAGGTGGCCTTGCAAACTCCAGCACAGCTGGTTCTGTTCATGACAAAATTTACCTCTCCTTAGAGCACTCAGCCATTTCCCCTGCCAGCCCTGCTGTGGCTGCCATCTGTCCCCTCTTCTCCCATTCTCCTACTCTTCAATTACCGGGCAACTGTGAAAACCCAAGCCCTTTACTCACATCACCCACTGTAAGGTTTCAAGTCTCCAGCGTGTCAGTCTTGCTGATTGCCTGGTCAACTATGAATCTGGAAAGTACTATAAGGAATAATCCCCTTGGTGCTACCAACTAAATCGTAAGGACTACCAGATTGCAGTCTGCATGGAAACATCCTCTCCGTACACGAGTGAGGGACCAGTAGTGTGCCTGAGCCATGATCTGCCAGTAAAGCTGTGTCTGTGGGGGACCTTAAGTATATGAGGAGTCTCCACTTTGCTGTAGAGATAGGAAAGGGAGGGGGAAAGGCCTCCAAAAGAAGCAGGAATCCCTCTGGAGCCCCACCAGACACAACAGTTCCCAGCTGCAGCGTCTGCATGCTGTCACATAATTTGAACCAGCAGGAGCTGCTCCCCCTTTCTTCTCTCACCATGTCATACCAGCTATCTGAAGTCGCACCCTGTGGGACTCCTAAATGTTGTGAGCTTGAGGTACACAGAATCGAGACAAGTGGCAGAAAGCTTATCCAGAGAATCAAGATGTCCATTCCTACTTCTACTGCACAGCCACAGGCCAGCCTCAGTATGAAGGGAACCTCAGTGGTTCATACCTTGAGTATTGTGTTCAGTTTTGGGCACCTCAGTATAGGAGAGATATCGAGGTGTTGGAGCGAGTGCAGAGGAGGGCAACAAAGCTGGTGAAGGGCCTGGAGAACAGACCTTATGAGGAGCGATTGAGGGAGCTGGGTCTGTTCAGTTTGACGAAGAGGAGGCCGAGGGGGGATCTCATCATGCTCTACAATTACTTGAAAGGACATTGTAGAGAGGTTGGTGCTGGTCTCTTCTCACAGGTAATTAGGGACAGAACCAGGGGGAATGGTTTCAAATTGCAACAGGGCAAGTTTAGGCTGGACATTAGGAAGAAATTCTTCACAGAAAGAGTGGTCAGATACTGGAACAGGAGTGGTCAGACACTGGAATAGACTGCCTAGGGAGGTGGTTGAGTCGCCATCCCTGGATGTGTTCAAGTGTTGTTTAGATGTGGTATTGGGTGATATGATTTAGGGGTGAACTTGTAGTGTAGGGTTAATGGTTGGACTCGATGATCCCCAGGGTCTTTTCCAACCTGAATTGTTCTCTGATTCTATGATTTTCTGTGGAGGAGGAGAACTCCAATCTTAAGGTGACACAACACAGCACTAGAAGGACAAGGAACAGAGATCAGAACTCCTTGTTGCAACTTAATAGGCCCTTCCTAGTAAGTTATTCTCTCAGAAGCAAACAAAAAAAAAAGACATACATCTGATTTGACCCTCACTGTTCTTACATTCCTCTGCAGTGAATAAGCTGGTGGAGAGAAGGGCGGCACCACAGGATGCAAGAAGAGGTTTCCTGCCTCTGAGAGCTGCCTGGAAGAAAGCTCAGAAAAGAGGTATGGGGGAAAAAGAACCCCAAAGGAACTTTAAGTATTTTGAAGTCAAACTATAAAATTATCAGGAGGCACCTGGAAGCACTAGCCAAGCAACCCCTCCACAACACCAAACAAGCACACACCTGAGCCTGGAGAGAGACAGGCTGCTTAACTGTGAACTGACACCGATAAGGTTGTAACACTGTGAGGTTGGCTTTTTTTTTCCCCCCTTCCACTCCCTCCATCATCTTTGATGTAAAATGAGCAGTTGTTAGCTGCAGAACCCTGAGGGATATTTTCCCTGAAACACAGGGTGGCTCTTCCAGTCATCCGTATTATTTGGCCATAGGTTCTGTTGTGTGCTCAAGTCAAGCCTGGGGGCATACTGACAAGGAGTGAGGAACAGCAGGTGGTGTCCCCTGGCCTGTTGCCACCCAGCTGGTTGCAACTGCCACCCAGCTTGTTTTTAGAACAGGTCAAGCCCTACCCCTCTAAATCAACACCCTTCAGGACTAAGTGGGAGCTGCAGTTCTCATCGACATGGATTCAGACCAATTGAGGACAAGGAAACTGATGTACAATGGCATGAAAATGGCACTTAACTACACCAGAAAAAAGAGGAACACACAAGCAAGGAGGCAGGAAACACATGAAGTGACACTAGACTTAGGACAGCAGACAAGGTTCATGAAGCAGGGGAGTTTGGACACCAGTGAGACCTGAGCACATAAGAGACCCAAATCCTACAGAAAGGATATCTATGCAAAATTATGCATGATATTAACTGGTTGGATTGACCTTGTAATTTTCATTATACTGGGTTGTAGGGATAGAGACTAATTCAAGGAGGAGTAAATTAAATATTGAGAAAAGAGATTGAGAATGGGAAAAATGCACAGGAAGAAACCAGCCAATAAGACCTAGTGTAATGTAAAGCTTTTGTCCCATAGCCGCTCACAGCCTACAAAGCAAATCATGTTACATCTGCTAGAAAAAAAAATTTGGTGCTTTCTGTTGTTGTGCTAGTCAGCATTTTCTCCATGTGTCACCAGTGCTAAGCTCACCAGCTTACTCTGCATATAAGCTCAGCCCCCAGCACTTAGGAATACTTGAGCCTTTCCTCCACTATAGCAAGAGTGATTTGTTCTCAACAGAGATACATAGAGGGCAAAAATCTTGGTCATTTTTGATGTCTAAAAACCTTGGGATTGGCCCAGTAACAGTAGCTGTGATGTAAGCAAGAATGTCTTTTAAAAGATGGAAGAAATCTCTAGTAGCTCCTTACTATTCACTGCCTTCTCAGTGGCCTCTTGCCCTAGCGATGCCGGTCCTCTAGAGCGTCTGCTCAATGAGCGGAATAACTCCGGTAATGGGACTAGATTTGATCTTTCAATATTATTCATACTGCAGCAAGACCTAAGCATTTCCACGTGACTCCAGGGCTCCTAGGCAACTGAGCACCAACACATGCGCAGCATTTATTATCTATAGTGACAGGGTCAACAACGGACAGAAGGATAGAGAAGCACTCTCAGATCAAGTGGTCTGTGAAAGTAATGAATGATAAACTGTTACATCAGAA